TTTGCTAGCTACTGAAGATGGGGGTGGAGCGCTTGTGGGAATGTACCGAGTGCTATGATGTCGGATTTAAAACTCAGCTCAGCTCAACTTGGGAGGTATTTGGTTGAACATTAATCAACGAACTTGGAGCTTGATTTCCTAATAAGCTAAGACCTGCAAGTGCTCATATTTTTACATATCTGCCAGGGCCCCTTACGTGTTAGTCGTCGAAGAAAGTGTTATAATTTCTCAAGAATTGAATCACAAGAAGGATTGTATACTAAAGTTCAGGTTTTTGTGATATCATAGACGCAAAAAGATTACTTTGAGGAACGTTGGGGGGTAGTCGAAGAAGAGGAGGGCAAAGAAGAACCTGGAATGACAACATCAAGAAATGGAGTTATCAAGTTATCACACACTTGTTCATCAAGCGGAAGACAGAGAAAGATGGCGCGTTTTTTGTGTGCTAGTGCTTCGTTCAGTACACCTCTACGACGATAATGGGTCAAGGGTTATGTTATGATGTGGACGTAAAAAAAATGTGTCCCGTGGATCACCAAATGGGAAATACTCATCATGTGCCATGTCGGTAAGCGTAGGGTTTCATGTTTCGCCATTTCACATGATCATCGGAATCATGGGTCTGGTCAATGTTCTTGTCTCTCCCCACCCATGTGGCCAAGCTGTACAAGTACTTGTTATGTTGCCTTTCTCCTGCTTGCTTTCTTTTCCTAAATTGTACCATTCATGTCAGAGTTCTAGAGTTCATTCCTTCTACTAACATGTCCAAAAGAAATACAGCTGTCGACCTATAATTATTCTTATTTGTTTACGACTATTATCTGTGTCGATGAACACTGTTTAATTTGTTTTTCAATCCCTACGTGACATTTTCTGCATTCTTCTCAAAATCGACATCTCCACCGCCAATAGATTTTTGTCAGCGTGTCTGCTTATTGTCCATGTCTCACATTCATATAACTGCACAGGCTCTAAATAGCATTATAACACTCATTTTCTTACCTCTGTGTCATCTTCTTGTTTGGTATCTTTTGCATCTTGCTAAAGGCCACTTTCGCCATGGCGAATCTTGTTCTAATTTCTGCAAAGTATCTTTTAATGTTGAATATTGTATTGAGAATCGACATCACAGCACTCAGGACACCATAAACGCTCCGTCCCCATCTTCAGCAGCATGCAAAGAGTTCCAATTCCGATGGCACCAGTAAACGTCTGATTGTATATCCGGCCCATTCTTCTCCTGGGTGTTAAGCATTGGCCAGATCCCCTGGTAACTCGTCGCAGCGCCATTCTCTTCAGATCGTAATGATCTGTCTGCTCCTCCGCACTGATCAATCGTTCCCAAAGAGCCCTCACTATATCTAGCTTGTCATACATGTCGTGGAATGATAAGCCATTACACATCACCCCTAAAGAGTGGGGACTTGACTTACCTGTGCTCGACACAACATTCAAACTTGGACTCGGCCGGAAAGGTATATAGTCCCTTATATCGATATATGCCTTTATCGGACATAATTATAATATCTACATCTTCTAGTTGCTTTGACTTAGCGTCATTTACAAATTTGCAACTATTTGATAAATATTACTGGAGTTATTTGAGGTTTCTTAGAAACCGATTTAATCCTTGCTCATGTATACAAGGAACTCCTTCTTACCGACGGCCAAATTGAGAATTTTGCGCCATTCTTTCTGTCGGCTTTCCTAGCGTTCAGATGTATGCATCGACGCCAGAAAATTTCACTTTCAGAAGGCGATCTGATCTGTAATGTCGGGGACTTTTCCTATGCTTGGGTAAGTTAATTATAGTTTACGAGTACCTTAAATGATGTCTGTTAAAGTGGTAACTGCTGTAGAGAGATCAGAATCGGCTATGGAATCACACATAGTTCTACCGTTCTTGTTCTCCATGGAGGCGGATTCGAACTTAGGCCTTCCTCTGTACAGACTAAATAACCTATGCCCTAAATAACCCACACATACTGATAAAAATAATGACCTTACAAGTGTGTACCATTTAAACTAACTACAGAAGTTTGTGCATACGAATGGGGACAGAATTTAGGTCAGTATTGGTCAGGCAGCGTTGCGTGAGTGTGTTTGACCCAGATCAATGAATGTGTGGGACTGGCTTGAGAGTCGTAGGGAATAGAGGTACTGACGGTAAATATTGGTGTCTGTGTGCAGATGGGAGGGGGGGGGGGGAGCTTGATATATGTGTTAGAGTGTCTATCTATCTCCAATATATATCTGACTTTCCATCTCTTGCACTAAACAGACAGATGAATGATAGGAGACATTGTCTCCTGGTCTTGAGAGTGCACTCTGAGGAATGAAACAGAGGAGCAGAGGTGGAGTAGGCTGATGTGGGATGGTGACTGATACTTATTCTGTCTTTCCTGTCAAGATGTTACCCACTTGGTGATGACTAATTCTGAGTTCTTTCTTGGCAGGATGAAACCTATGTGAAGAGCTGGCAGAAAAATCACAGTCCAACCAACACCCACCAACCATCAATCAACCAATTATCAACCAATTATCACCCAACTACCACTGGTGAAGACTGACATCATCAGTCTGGGATGCCATATACCCCAAACAGTCTAACAGTGCCAGAGCTTGGTGTAGCTGAGGGACAGTATGGTGAACTGACTGGTGGGAGAGATTTGCTGTGTGCCTATCCAGTTGCTGTGTCCTCTATGGTGAGGTACTTCCCCACCATCTGATCCAGTTGAAGCAGAATTTCCAAAGACAGTCGAATCATCAGGAGCTGAGGGAAGCATCAACGATAGAAAGAGGATAAGTTACAGTGTAACCATACAACATGCTATATTCCCCACAGCTCCACTGGGGTCCTATGATGATGAGGTGTCATCTCCAAGACTTTCTGGCTGTTTGGTTGTCTTTGTAATCTGGACATTGTATTCTGGAATCCATCTATTGAGATCTGGCATCTACTTCACTATTTTATATATGTATATGTTGTATTGATTACATGCATTCATTTTCATGGCTGACTTAGGTGTCTCTATTTCACCTTTTTAAGTGTTTAGCATTTGTGTGTGTGTGAATCATAAATATTATATGTGTTAACATGGTTATGATAATGAACTATCATAACCTGGGGGCTTTCTTTAGTAAGTAGTGGGGGTGTCCAGCCAAGTGTGCCTAGGAATATTGTATTCATATACAGATATATTTTGTAGTGCCAATACTTGAGTTGCCCTACTCCAGAAATAAGTTGAGCGTATATTGGCCACGGGGAATCTCTTAGACCAATACGAGCCAAACGACTCAACATAATTATTTCTGAGTGCTGTTGGTTCTGAAGGAGAAATACTTATATCAGGCACGTGACAGGAGTGATATGTGACAATATATCAGTTCACCACTAAGTGGTGCAGAGCTGGCCAGTTTATCTGCTGGCTCATTTCCCAACATACCAGCATCCCTGGAGAAAATATCTAAAGTATGCTACCTACACAGCACCTCTTAAGTGATGTTTACCACTCTGCAGGAAGCAAGCATGTCTTCACCTTTCTCAGCATGCTCTGTGAGTCAGTTACAATCACGGCATGAGTGTACAGCATCTTGCATCATATGCTATGACTGCTCTGAGAAAGCTGTATCTTAACTTGTCAAAGAATTTTGTCATTATTGTGAATTTCACACTAGTATTTTCTTCTTCTTGGTGATGACCATAACCTCTTAGGCATTCTGATAGCATCAGCGGATGATAAATGTAAGGAAGTTAAATGTAAAAAATTCATACGTAAAGCAGGCTTTTGTGTCATTCGGAGCATTCTGTGCAATTTGTGTTGAGACAGCAAGGTTCTTCTATCTATTTATATCCTCCTCATGTCGCTATTGACACATAAGGCATTCACAAGTGATCTCCGTTGCTGCCGGTCTGCTGATTTTCTGGCCATTCTATCCCATGTCAGTCTACATTCCTTCATTTCCTGTTCTATTGTCCTTTTCCAGGTTTCCTTAGGTCGTCTTCGTCTCCTTTTCCCATCTGCTGTCCACCGGAGAGCTGTTTTTGCCAGTGTCACGAGGCATTCTGCAAACATGTCCAAGCCATCTCCATTGTCTTACTTTGAAAACATTTGTCAGTGATGCACATTCTTAATGCTTCTTTTCATACATAGTGCATGCCGTGTGGTATTGGTAGTCATGTCTATCCACAACCTTCTGTCCTCTGTACTTTCAGTCATCTCGGAGACATATGATCTCCCATGCCATGATGTCAAACTTTCCAAACTTCTTTTCTCTCGGTTCCCTCTTTCTCTTTTCCCCTCCAGCTTTCCCACCATCACGATGTACTCAATTTTTCCTCTTCTCGTGATATGACCAAAGAATGTAAATTATCTCCTTCTGATGTAAGCAGTCAGTTTTGTTCGTGAGTCAGTTTCTTTCACCACATCTTCATTACTCTTTTAACCTGTCCAGGGTTTTGTCCTCGGGTAGCTTGAGTGATGTTCAGAAGTCATTCTGCACACTTTAATGTGCATTATTATAATGGATATTTCCACACCGCTGTAAATCAGGCTATAGATCAAATTATCAACAACAAAATCACGTCACATTTTTCTGTGCAAACACCATGGTCACGAAAGTGGCGAGGAAATTTTGTCGTCACAAAATGTAGACCGTTTATCTTTGGCTTGAACATCTGCTTAATTTCCGGGAATCTTATTACGCACTTTACCATCTCATTATTAAATTTACAGTAATTTGTTGAAGAATATCCACGTAAGATAAGATCTATCTTGAAATAAGTAAACTCCTGAGGTCTAACGTCACTTTGGTGTGACGTGTATTCATTCGCAATTGACCCTGGATACCACTTTGCTGTGAAGGGGGAAGATAGTGCTGAAGTTTATCAAGTTTAGGTTAGAAGAACGCGGGTGGAAATCAGTAAGACTATCGGGATTTGATTTGCCCACACTGAGGGGGTTTGTTCGAGGGTGTAACGGTCAACTCTTGCATTCAAAATGCGTGAGATTATGCACATACAGGTCGGCCAATGCGGCAATCAGATTGGCTCCAAGGTAAGTACGGTTTACATCTTTTTCTTCTTCAGCATTCTGAGACCTTGAAGTTCATTGCTGCAGATATCATCCACCTCCACTACTCTGGTTGGCCTTCTCTTTCAAGCTGGTAACACTAAGTGTTTGCAGATCTCTCTAGACATTATCTCTCTATCGTCTTCTTGGTCTGCCTGGTGGTCTACGACCATTCATCTCCCTTGTGTATATAGTTTTTACTTCTCTGTCATCTGACATTCTCTCAAAATGCCCCAGGTATTTCAAACTATTAGCTCTCACGATGCCAATGATCAGTGGTGATTTAAATAGATTATGAATTTCGTTGTTGATTCTCACTCTCCATTCCACGCTGTTTACATCTTTGATAGGTCCAAAGATTCGTCGTAGACTCTGTTTTCCAAAACCTGTAATAAGCTTTCATCTCTTTTAGTTGTGCTCCAAGTCTCAGAGCCATATAAAACGATTGGTTGGTATGTTTACTTTTCCTGTATACAGACAATTCTGAGACACCATGTATTATATAATAGCTAATATCAGTCCATAAGCAGTTACAACCTATGGGACGTGAGATATAAGGTAAAGTGAACAAGTAAACGTCCCTTTTCCACGCCTTTAGACGTACGGGGCATATAGGGCTAGACCTATATTCTAATAGACCAATCGGCACAAGGTGATGTGGTCAGCATCACGCTGGCCGTCTTTACTTCCCGGGACTGCACCCGAGACCCACTCCAGGCTGGGTTGACCTGGGAGTCAAGGTCATTTTTGAGGAAAAAAAAGTACGGCTCCGGAGATATAAGGGTGTGACACAAAAGTCGGCAAGTGAGTCAACCTAGCCTAAAATGGGTGGCGCAGCCAACAACTGGGCCAAGGGTGAGTACACCAAGCTGTTGCAGTATATATCTTCTTAACTCTTTAAGGACGGATCACTACTTAAGTGGCTTTTGAATCTTTTGAATCAGTCACGTTCAGACAGATCGCCACTCTAACGGCTCTTCATAGAGACACTCTAATATTGTTCCGTTTGCTCGGGGGGAAAAAGAATGTTATGACCATGTTTTAAAAAACTAGAATTACCGAAACAAAGTATTTTCGTTGTCGAAAATATTTTATACTGACCGACTTGGCACCTCTAATAAAAATGTCTCTTCATTGGCCATGTCTATCATACAGCTTGAAACCCACAACTGCGGAATACGGACGGAATTTATCCCATACATTTAAAATGGTACCATATGTTACAGAAATTGATATTAACCAAACATAGGTCAGCTTTTTCAGACTGCTGTTCGTCCATTTTCTGATGCTGTCATCCCACTTGTATGGTCAGTATTTCTTCAATAAATTGCTACATCCCTGAAATAACGTAACGCTTTGCTGGGTGGTTTTTCTGCAGTTCTGGGAGGTCATATCCGACGAGCATGGGATCGATCCCACGGGTAACTACGTTGGCGATTCAGATTTACAGCTAGAGCGCATCAACGTTTACTATAATGAGGCTGCAGGTCAGGGGCACACTGTGTTTCCATAGCATTATGGTTGTTATATGTCTGTCTGTCTGTCTGTCTGTCTGTCTGTCTGTCTGTCTGTCTGTCTGTCTGTCTGTCTGTCTGTCTGTCTGTCTGTCTGTCTGTCTGTCTGTCTGTCTGTCTGTCTGTCTGTCTGTCTGTCTGTCTGTCTGTCTGTCTGTCTGTCTGTCTGTCTGTCTGTCTGTCTGTCTGTCTGTCTGTCTGTCTGTCTGTCTGTCTGTCTGTCTGTCTGTCTGTCTGTCTGCATGTGTGTCTGTCTGTGTGCATGTCTGTCTGTCTTTCTGTCTGTCTGTCTGTCTGTTTCTGTCGTTCTCTCATTCTCTCTCTCTCTCTCACATCATCATCATCATCATCATCTCGCTTCACCTCATTTCGTTATTTTTCTTTAACTGCATCTTACAGTCGTTCCCATTATCTTTCTTATTCTGACTCTCTATCAATCTTAATCCCCCATCGCTTTTTGTCTATCTGTCTGCCGGTCTGTCTATCTTTCGGTTTGTCTATCTGTCTATCTAACTCTTTATATCTCTGTCCCTCTCTATTTCTATCCCTCCATTTCTACCCTCTCGCCCTCTATCACTCTCACTTTCACACACTCTCTCCCCCACCCTTTCTCCCTCATCTCTTCCTTTCACTTAATTATCTCTCATTTGCTCGCACACATGCGCATAAACACACAGACATACAACAGAATACGTTCAACATAGCATTTCATAAATCTGTGAGACGTAATGAAAGTGACATTACATAAGACACACTTCTCCAGGTCTGGCGGATGTGTTGGGAAACTTACAGGATGACAGGATGGCTGGTTTTGCATCACTTGAGGGTATATAGTCGCATGACAGTCTAGATGCTGCCAGGGCCCTTTGGGAGCGATTGAACAGTGCAGAGGCACAGACAGATTATCCTGGTCTGAAGAGAATGGTGCAGTTGGAAGTGACTATTTCTGGTCGACACATTCATCACAGGCAACGCGATTTGGACATACAATCAGACTCCTGCTGGTACCATCAAAATTTGAACACTGTGCTGGCTGCTGAAGGTGCGGACGGAGCGCTTATAGTAATGCTCTGAGTGCTTTGATGTCGCTTCATAGCTCAGCTCAACTTGACTCAGCATAAGATACTTGTGTGTGTGTGTGTAGGGGGGGAGGGGGGAGGATGTTTCTTATTCGCAGTTTTTCCAACATTGCCCTACTGCCCTGTTTTTCTCCTGGCAATCTACAGGTGGCCGGTATGTCCCTAGAGCAGCACTGGTTGACCTCGAACCTGGTTCAATCGATTGGGTACGTTCTGGTCGCTTTGGTACCATCTTCCGTCCTGACAACTTTGTGGCTGGAAAAGGTGGCGCAGCCAACAACTGGGCTAAGGGTGAGTACACCAAGCGATTGCAGTATATAACTTCTTAACTCTTTTAGGACGGATCACTACTTAAGTGGCTTTTGAATCAGTCACGATCAGACAGAACGCCACTTTGATGGCTCTTCATAGAGACACACTAACATTGTTTCGTTTGCTCGGAAAATAAATTTTTATGACGATGTTTTGAAAAACTTGAATTAGCGAAACGAATTCTTTTCGTTTTCGAAAATATTGTATACTTTATCAGACGTTTCTTGATAAATTCAGCAGTGATTTGAGAATGTTAACATATTTGATAGTCTTCTTTTGGACTGCAGAAACAACAAAGTGGGCTAAATGCAACATACAGTGCAACGGAGGAAATGGAAAAGACGTGCATAAAAACAATATAAGGTTTCTACCAAAGTGTGTGTCATCGGAGTGCTTAAAATATAAAACACGGGAAACACGGAAATTAAAACAAACAGATGGTGACATACGAATACATGAGACAAGCACAGTTCATTTGAACATCTACAGTGACAAAACATGCTTTAGCCAAGTGGTTCTATCTTTCGCTATTGCATGCATCTCACCGCATGTCCTCTACATCTTTTTAATTTCATTCTCTACTCTCTTCACGTAGTATGTGTGTTTTGGTCAGCCTTTATTTATATGTCTCTGTGGTTCCAGTGTAAAGACTTTCTAGTTATATTTTTCTCAGATTTTCTTAACGTGTGTCCTATCCAATGACATCTAAATATAACGGACTGTTTCATTTTGTGTGAGGGGGTTCAATGAGTCTTCAAGATTATATCCTAGATGGAAGCTGTTTCAAAAGGTTCTAATGACTGCTCCGGTCTTACTTTTTTTTATAAGTGCACTCTGAATCTGGTTGTTCTGTACGACATAGGATAACGATCTTCAGCACGTTCTAAAGATATGCTATTTCTGTTGACCAGGTCACTACACGGACGGCGCCGAACTCGTTGACAGCATCATGGAGATTGTCCGCAAGGAGGCTGAGCACTGTGATTGTCTGCAGGGTTTCCAGCTGACGCACTCGCTAGGTGGAGGCACCGGCTCTGGCCTGGGAACTCTCATCATCAGCAAAGTCAGAGAAGAATATCCCGACAGAATTATGTGCTCCTACTCTGTTGTGCCTTCTCCGAAAGTAGGTTTCCCGAATTGCTTCACTTTTTGCGTTAGTTTCACCATCATGATCATCTAGTGCCTTGCCCATTGGCTTAGGCGATCATGCCTGCTCACAGTCTTCGATCTTCATCATCATGTATCAGTTCGTGTGTTGGCATCACTCCATGCTATGGCAAGGGGTGCCAAGAATCCTTTTGCTTTGTCTTAGTCTCTGACTTTTTTTCTACAGATCTTTCACGCGGTTATATGTTTCAGTTTTCTTCTTCTAATAACATGATTTTTTTTTTTTCAATCATGACTGTATCTTTCGGTTGTTTAGGATATCTTATCTTCGACCCTTGCCTCTTTCAAAATATATGTGTTGCTCTTTTTGCTTTATAATTAACTCAACGAGGTCTTCTGTAAAACCACATATCCGATGCCTCAAACAAATTAATTAGTGTTCATTTAGATCCGTTAATTATCTTTCGTATGCAAGCATCGGAGTTCGTGCTTTGTACGATGCTCTTGACGCAAGGCTACCTGGTCTCTCTGTTATGCAAGAAAGTCGATCTTCTGAACTTGAATGTTGACTAATATGTCGTATATTCTGAGGGTAAACTCGTTAGATTTGTCGTAGAATGTGATGCTATTATTTGAATTGTTTTAAACTTCACCCCGCTTTCGTTGGGGGCCCTAATGTAACCTAATGGTTGAACCAGGTTTCTAGGACTCGTGACTAGGGGATTCTTATCCGAAGTGTGGAATGTTGTGACATGTGGTGTTCATATCCGGTGTGCGGTCCTGGTCTGGTTAGGCGTCACTGACTCATGAGGGTTAACTCATTTCGTACCAGGTAACTCACCGTGTGCTTATATCTCCTCCTAACACGAAATGTTTTTTCTTATTCGTCTGTTACATTAACCCTACTCATTTTCACCTTTTACACTGGATTTGCAGCTTTGTGGTGTTATTTTCTCTACTCCTTTAGACACAAAAAACATTAGTTCAAATTTACAATTCTTGGTGATGTAAAATACCGTCTTGTACTGAAAGAGCTAAGCATAACATGTTCGTGCTGAAATAGTGCCAATTCTTAATCTATCTTCGTTGATCAATGAAGAAGATATCAAGCACAGTACATGCGCTCCGTAGCGCGTTTTCCATATATGGTCAAGCTTCTCAACCTTCCTAATGCCGCAACCCTTTAATGCAGTTCTTCATGTCGTGGTGACCCCCAACCATATAATTAGTTTTGTCGCTACTTCGTAATTTCAAAGAGTATGTGTTTTGCGATGGTCTTTGGCAACGCCTGTGAAAGGGTCGTTCGACCCACACACAAAAAAGGCTTGCGACCCATAGGTTGAGAACCGCTGTTCTATGGGAAAAAAAATGTACAGTGCAAAAGAACATATGTGGAATTCACACACCAAAAGATCAGTTCAACGGGGGAAGGGGGTGGTGGGGGAGAGTTTCTGGTAGATATTCAACATTGAAGGAGAAACAGAGGTAGATTTTCAATCAGGTTGTAACTGTAACTATTAGCATGTCAACTCTTCGTTGATTACCGAAGAATAGGACGGAGCACATGTGGGAATGTCCCGAGTGCAGTGGTGTCAGTTTTTGATTCATTCATTCATTCATTCATTCATAATTGATCATGTTACATGTTATTTTCAGTAAGAAATTATTCTATGTTTGTCCAGTGCAAATTTGTCTGACACTGACTGAACCGCACAACTGTTCTCTACCCGTACAAAGTGTACTTACTACGTTCACGATTAAACGTTTTAACTTCCAGATATAATAGTTGCTTCTTTCTATCTCTTATATAATCTTCAATCATTAGAACATTTGTAGTCAATGTAAGTATCAGACATTATAGTTGGACCGTACAACTGTTCCGTACATTATAAAACTTGTATTTTATCCATGACTAAATATTTCAAGCTCAAATCATTGCTTCTGTTTTTCTTAGTAATACATTATAAATGTGCGTTCTACAGGTATCTGACACTGTTGTTGAACCGTACAACTGCACACTGGCCATTCATTTACTAGTAGAAAACACAGATGAAACATACATAATTGATAACGAGGCTCTATACGACATATGCTTCCACACCCTGAGGCTCACCACCCCAACCAACGGAGATCTGAACCATCTGGTCTCAGCCACTATGTCTGGAATCACCACCTGCCTACGATTTCCCGGTCAGCTAAACGCTGACCTCCGCAAACTTGCCGTTAACATGGTGCCCTTCCCCCGCCTCCACTTCTTCATGACTGGTTTCGCTCCTCTCACCTCCCGCGGTAGCCAGTGGTACAGGAATCTAACTGTCCCAGAGCTCACTCAACAGATGTTCGATGCCAAGAACATGATGGCCGCCTGTGACCCACGGCACGGGCGCTATCTTACTGCAGCAACCGTTTTCAGGGGCAAGATGTCCATGAAAGAAGTTGACGAACAAATGCTGAACGTGCAGAATAAGAACAGTCGCTACTTCGTGGAGTGGATCCCCAATAATGTGAAAACCGCTGTCTGTGACTATCCGCCTCGAGGGTTGAAGATGTCGGCCATCTTCATGGGAAACAATACAGCAATGCAAGAGCCGTTCAAGCGTGTTGGAGAGCAGTTCACAGCGATGTTCAGGCGCCGAGCTTTCTTGCACTGGTACACGGGTAAGTGTGACTGAAACATTCTATAGCAAGTTTCAGAATGGTAAATGGTCATCCCACCTCATTGTTTCATGGCCTTAACATTGCAAGTCCGGATACTTCACTGTCAAAAGTATACCTGTACCATACATCAGTAAAGACTTAACACGTTTCATCATAAGTAAATAGTTGTATATGTAAAATTCATCGGCGACTAGTAGGAAGGTTTGATATTCTGCAATCATTTATCTTTCAAAACTGTCTGGCTTCAGGATTATACGTTATGTGGTTATATGTTGTAATTCGGGGAAGATAAATAGTACTTATAATAACATCTCAAGGTCACCTCCCCCCCCCCCCCCCCCCCCCCCCAAATTTTCGCATAAAAAGCAAAGAAAATATGTATGACGGAGTTGGGGAAGGCGTTCAGTTGCAACGTTTTCTCTGTGTCGGAGCATCTGGTCTTCAGTGTTGCCAGTCCTTATTCTACGTATCTCTTGTTCGCGTATTGGATTTTCTTAGATTAGAAAGCATTGTTGGTAACTTATGTGTCTTGCATCATCATCATCATCATTATCACCAATGTCCACTTTTGACTTAGGCGTCATGAGGTGCAACAGTGTACGATCAATTGCTTGATAGGTTGCTATCGCTTTTGTCATTCCATGTCCATGTATAATTACTTAAATGCCAGGAATCCATATTTTCTTAAGGCGACTTCTTGTTTTCACATTAGATCCTCTCATGCGTAGCGCATGTATTGGTGGATGTTGTGGCTGCATTCTAACAATATGACCGAACCGTTTGATATTCTGTTTCTCAGAATTTGGTGCATGATGTACTTGTTTTGTATTTTGTCCATTTCTATCGTCTTTTGCTAATCCTGATAGTGAAAAGGTGAACAATGCAATGGTATGGACATGTAATAGGATCTAACGGCCTCTCAAAAACAATACTGCAGGGTTCAGTAGAGGGAAAGAGAAGAAGAGGCAGATCAAGAAACCTTCTTAAAGAACTTGCCTGTCAAGACAGGCATCATGCATTCAACCATGAAGTCTATCGCAACTGACCGCCAAAGGTAGACAGAGCTTTTCAGACAGTCAACAGAAACTGGTGACCCAACGGCACGCAATGTTACAGGATGATGATAAATCATAATAAGTTTAATTTCTTCATGAATTTATTTAGTCCGGGTTCTTTCTTTCCTAGTCCGCTAATATTCCAAGTACTGAATATCTCACGTCTGCTTTTTATTGAAGCTGTTGTGTTCGCTTTTTTTTTAAGGTGGATAGAATCGCCCTTTACTTTAATTTCCTCCATAATTTGTGAGCATTGATCATTGTTCATTTTTTTTTAGATTATCGTCATGGTACACCGGGCATGCCCATAAGTGCTCCGATCTCCTCATGTGTATGTCTCAAAGTCTTGAGCAATAACAGTTGTCTGTCTCCAAGTCTTGAGTTATAACAGTTGTATGTCTCAAAGTCTTGAGCAATTAACAGTTGTATGTCTCAAAGTCTTGAGCAATAACAGTTGTATGTCTCCAAGTCTTGAGCAATAACAGTTGTATGCCTCCAGGTCTTGAGCAATAACAGCTGAATGTCTCCAAGTCTTGAGCAATTAACAGTTGTATGCCTCCAGGTCTTGAGCAATAACAGCTGTATGTCTCCAAGTCTTGAGCATTAACAGTTGTATGCCTCCAGGTCTTGAGCAATAACAGCTGTATGTCTCCAAGTCTTGAGCATTAACAGTTGTATGCCTCCAGGTCTTGAGCAATAACAGCTATATGTCTCCAAGTCTTGAGCATTAACAGTTGTATGTCTCCAGGTCTTGAGCAATAACAGTTGAACAAATTAACTGCCTGTTGGTTTGGTGGACTTTCGTGGGATCATCCCTCTTTGAATTGACTGTTGGTTTGGTGGACTTTGGTGGGATCATCCCTCTTTGAATTGACTGTTGCTAAAACATACAGTAAAACACATTTTAAACTCCACATAATCAGCAAACCATGTTTACATCGCCATCTCGGTGGCCACTTGCACAGTAACTGTTTTTGCAGTCTAAAAAAATATCCAAACCAACTGATTTTCAACGCTGTAGACACACGATGTTTTTACAACAGTCTGTCTGACGGTATGGTATTTCTCATTCAGGTTCCTATAGGTAAATTGCGCTGAATTACCTTTTTAATGGTCTAATTTGTCACTGATAGCATTTTGAATTCTTAAAGGAATAAGTCAGTAAATAAGATTCAACCCCACCAGGACATCACACAGGGATAAACCATCTGTGACAGAAAATGCCACCATGCGGATGAGGATCACCGGGGAGAGGTCCCAGAAACCCCGTTTAACCGTTAGGTTATATTAGGGCCCTGACTACAGCCGGGGTAGGGCCTTGTGTAACGAAAAATTACGTCCCGTATCGAGACGGTAGTTATAAATAAACAAAGTTATTTTAAAAAACTGGTGTGGGTCCAACTAAATTTTTGTTCTCACTCGATTACTTTTCTCAATACAGGTGAAGGCATGGATGAGATGGAATTTACCGAGGCTGAGTCCAACATGAGCGATCTTGTGTCAGAGTATCAACAGTACGAAGAAGCCACAGTTGAAGATGGTATTAACTTCTACGAAGAGGAAGAAGAGGAAGTGTAACTTGCACCCGGCATGACCCTGAAGAATAAAGCATGAATCAGATTGTCTCCCCTTTCCCTCCGATGATAACTTTGTTTCCATCTTGTAGAAATGTAACACACGACACCATGGCACCTGTATGAAGGAAAGAACATCAGCATAATAAAGCGTCATTGAAAAAAAAAATTTAAACATGGTGGCCTCACAAGTAGGTCTTCTAATCGTTAAACCGAATGAAGTGAGCTAAAATGTAAAGCTCGGCCGTTAATTGAGGGCCATATAAATAATGTATTCGTTCTCCAGTGCCTGCACAGACAGAACAAGTCGTCCCCTCGTTGGATGACATTTATTTTAAGCCCCACCCTGGATTTTGCCAAGGGGCCCTGAATATTGCCGGACTATAAATATTGCCTATCCATTGATATGACTTTAAGGGCTGAAAGGGGTTTCTTGGACCTCTCCACGGGTGGTCCTCATCCACATAGTAGCACTTTGTGTCACCGGATGTTTATCGCGTGTGTGATGACCTGGTGGGGTACAACTACTACCTACCTACCCACCTGCCTAGACACTTCGTACAATTAGCTCGTCTTGCCACACACTCGACTGAAAACAGAAATGTTGAAATAGATTTAATTTGAGCATCCTTTACAATTTAGCATTCAGGGATGCTTTGGTAATATACCATGTCCTGTTGATAAAACTCAGTCTGATAAAGTTTTGTGCTGATTACTTCCCCTTGAACTGTGCATAAGAGTTTAAATTTCGAACTACAGACCTCAGCTGCGAAATAAACAAAACAGATAAGAAACTGTTTCTGTGCTGCTCTCTTAAAAAAACATTTCCATTATCATCATCACCATGCGCCCTGTACGCAAGCGTAGGCGGTCATGTTTTGCTATCTGACACGACCACAAGAATTACGGATCAGGTATGTGCTCTTGTCTTGCCCCACTCATACGGCCAAGCTATCCAGGTCTTAGAATCATCAATAAGAAGATTCTTTACAGAGCGCTCCTCTCGTCACAGCACGCCTGAATGTTTGTATTTCTCCAGTAAAATATACTGCCCTGTGAGCTCTGAGTCATTGCATCGTCAGTGTCTTGTGTCCCCTTCGTGTAGGTCAGCCTCTGTCTGGTTTTCCAGAAATGAATCGTCTTACATATATGGTTTTTTGTAGAAGACTTACAAAAGCAGCATGGAAAAACAAACGTAACGAAATTGCCTTAAATAATTAAACATCACGATCAATTATTATCCACATCAGTTTGTGTCTTCGCATTGTTTACTCACTCCCAAAGGGACTTTATAGAAACTATCGTGTCTTGCAACAATTTATCACAAAGTGTTGCAGAAGCAGCCAGTCTATCTATCTGTTCATTTCCCAACTTCTCTCTTGGTCTCCATCTGTAGCTCTTTCTCTCCAACTGTTCAGTTATCAGTACTTACTCTTCTTTTCCATTTCCTCGAGATATACATATTTAATGCAGATTTTCTTTTGTTCTAATAATTTATTTATATATTTTTTATTAATTTTTTTTTTTCGTTTTGTTAATGTGGATAATAACTTATGTTCATGAATTTAATCATTTCAAGATTACTTCGTTATGTTTTTCTATGTTGCTTTCAAAATTATTGCACAAAAACCACATGTAAGACGACTCGTAATTTATTCTGGAACTGTATGTTTGGACAACCGGTAGGCCGGCCAAACAATTTCTTGAGGCCTCAGTGATAGGTTTTACAAAAGAATGCTTAATATACCTTGGATAACCGAAAAAAAAAGAGCAAACAAGAGGTTTTGAAAGAGGCGGGAGCTCGAAGACAACTTATCACAGACATCAGAAGGATACTGTCATAATTTTTCGGCCATGTTATGAGAAGAGGGAAATGGAACATGTTGTGACCACTGGAAATATCTGTGGAAGGAGGAATAGAGGAAGACAACAAGAGAAGATTCTCGAGTCTTATTGCATGGCATGGTGGTGTGTCAGCATACGAACTGATTGATGCTGCAGGAGATCGCAGATTGTGGAGAGGCATGATCGCTCACGCCAGTCCACAAGGCACCTGACGATGATGTTTGTATTCTAAGATTCCATGGTTTGCCTGGAAAAACGGGGATTGGAGGATCAAGTTTCTGGAAAACAAGAGACCGACCTTTGCAACGGTCGATACAAAACATTGAAAATGTATTTGCTAAGAAAGCACACAGGGCGGGAGAATTGGCTAGAGACAGGAAAGAGAGACTTTCAGTCGAGTCGTGACGATAACTCCGTCCTCATCTTCAGCAGCCAGCTTATGGATCCAACCCCTTTGGTTCCAGTAGCAGTTTGGTTATATTCCTATCTTGCCCTTCCTCTAAAGCCTCCCCATGCAAAAGCGAAGGATCGAACGATCTGTTGGGGGCCTAGGTTCCAGTGAGGGATAGAAGGCAGAAGAAGAAGAAACAGCTGCACCAGAATGAATGATATAAACTGCAACCCTGTGTGAGCTAGGACACAGCAAAGACTTCAGGAAGATTCTTCATGCATAAGGCTGCGTTATGGGGCCATTTTCTGTATTAAGTTTTAGGTTATTAGGTTTTGAACAACGGATCAACATCATGGCACACGGGTAGTAACCCACAAGCGCTCCGTTCCTCTTGTAATTAAAGTCTGAGTCCTAAGAAGCTCAGCACAGTGCACAGGCTCTGTAGCACCGGCGAGGATCGTGAAATACTATGGGTAGATTTTTAACTCCAAATTTTGCCCAGGCAGCGCCGTTAGGCTACTCTTTTCGATTTCCAATTGCCAAGGGATTTTTTACGTGCGAAACAATACATAAGGGCATCTGATTTCACTATAAAGAGACCAGTGGGATTTACTAGAAGTTCAAGTCCACGTGATAAAAATCCCAGCCCTTCCCGGGGATTGAACCCGGAACCTCTAATACTCGAGGCGGACACCATGCCTTGAGACCACGCAAGCCAAGCGATAAACACCCGATGACGCAAAGTGCCACCATGTGGATGAGGATCACCGTGGAGAGGTCCCAGAAACCGCGTTCAGCCATGAGACCATATTTATGGCCGGGCTATATTGCAACCCCTGGCAAGAGCTAGTGGGGGCTTCAAATTAACGAAAAATTGCATCCCACAAGGGGATGAATAGGCATTTACTATTTACTTGACTTAGCAGCATCGATACATGACAAGAACAGCTTTTCTGCAATATCATGGCATTTTGCATGGTACCAAATGTTATGGCAACAATCATGCAATGGTGTTACCAAACCCAAGACAACAGTTGGTATTTGGTGCTGAGGAAGAATTGTTCTGATGGTCAGTTTGTGAACTGAGCAGTGTACATCTAGAATGACTGACCCTTCTTAAGGCCACCCCCAAAATACCCCAATAGGCAAGGCATTTTCCTGACTGCCACAGAGTTTACACACACAAAAACTGCACAACTTCACAGCTAAATGAAATACCAATATTACAAACCCTATACACTGAATCTACCACCCAAATAGTGGGCTGTACCATGACCCCAGGGAATTCCTTGTTTGTGGTGAATTATTAATATAGTACTGTAATATCTGTTGGACATAGCTAGAACAAATAGACAGTCCTTCAGGCAGTGAAAACTAAATGGACAATAAAAGAAAGACATGTTTAAAATATTTTGGCATTTTTACAAGGAGAAAATATTGTGACAACTGGCAAACTTTACAGGACACAAGCAAGAGGAAAACAAAGAGATACATGATTTAGCAGCATCTCCTATTCAGGCAAGAACACAAACCATACACTTAACAGCACGAGACATGATAATGATGACTGCTTGACTACGCCACACTTTAAAGTTATTTAGCCTTTTATTTGCACACAACAATAAAATTAATTCATTCTGACACAGTTTATTCAGCAATATGTATAGCGGTAAATACATCAGTAAACTGTTACACATCTTTTGAAATAAACTGTTTATAGCATTCCACAAGGGACGATCAAACTGTAATAAGGTGTTCAATTTCTGCCTGGTTGTCAGCTTCGATCTTTATCTGGACAAAATCATGTATTATCAACAATTAAACAGTGGTACGTACTGTGTTGGAAGACAGTCTTGGGAAACAAAATGCAAGTATATATAATGCAATGACATAATTAACATTTATTTTTGTCTAATCAAACAGGTAGTAAGTCTGGTTCTATGTTCTGTATGGCCTCTGAAACAACAGAAAGAATAGAACTACTTCACATGTGTGGGTTCTGGGACCCTGTTGGAGGGGGAGTGGGGGGGAGGGGACAGACCTGTTGCCTCCCTAACAAGCACGTCATAGAAAAGCAACTAATTAGTAGTGCTTCCTCTGAGGTTAGAATGCTTCTGCTTGGGAGGTGAGGAACCAATAGAGTAACAAGTAAAAATTCCTTTTTATGCCTTTAGGATCAATTGGCATATGGAAAGAGCACCCATATTTAGGCCGACCAATTGGCACTAGGTAGGTAATGTGGTCAGCATTACGCCGGTCGTCTTTACTTCCCCAGGACATATGTCCTGGTACCCATTTTAGGCGGGGTGGACCTGCATACCATGATAAAAATCCATGCAGCCAGCAGTGGGTTTCAATCGTGGTATGTTGAAATTACGAGTCGGACAACAACGCCTAAGCCATAAACACCACGAACCAATAGAGTCTACAAACAAATAAGCCAGCAGACTGCATACATATAAGCCAGATGTGTAAAATGAATGTGCATGCAAAACTCCAGTTCTGAGACAAGATCAAGGTCCAGAACTGGATGAACAAAAAGTGCGTTTCTCTTGAGTTTACAGCTGGGGAACACAAAGAACTACTTCCTTCCATGTGTCTCAATCAGCTAATGCAAGTGTCTCAATCAGCTAATGCAAGTGTCTCAATCAGCTAATGCAAGTGTCTCAATCAGCTAATGCAAGGCTTCCTGGGGCCCAAGAGAATTCTCACAGAGAACTGGCACTCAAACAAATTACTGTAGATCTGCACCAAAAGTATGCTTCAGC